ATATTTAACTTACGATATCTCGTTAACTATTCGTCAGAAGAAAAAGTGGTACTAAAGTTTTTCGCTCTATTTAGTCTCAATGATATACCGTTACAATAGTCCCGACTTTTGTTAATTTACTGACTTTTGGAAATTTCAAAATCGTCAAATTAACCAAAATCAGGATGCTATTGTAACAATATATTCTTGAGACCGAGTAAAATAAAAAAGTCCAATAGCATTTTTTCTCCCGAATGGTTGGCGAGATATCGTAAGTTAAATGTTGAAAAAGTTTCCGAGTTTTTTTTAAATATGTCAAAAAATATTAGTCAAGTAAAAAAATTTTTCAAACAAAAGTTGTTCAAATTAATTGGTAGAGAAAGATGATATAATAAAAAATGGGGGTTTCTGTTTAAAAGAAATAAGTTGACCTTGACCTGACCTTGGCAACGCCACTCAAGGTCAAATTGATAAGATCAGTAAATACATCGTTTTGAGCCTTATAACTTTTGTCTGAAATACTTTTCTGTAAAACTTATATCTTTCGAGATTTTTAAAGGTCTTCATCCTTTTTTTCCTTATCCTGTATATATGTGCCGAGACGACACGCGAGCGAGAAAATCGCGTAGAATCCAGGCTGGGGCTTTTTCGGCCGCGGTTCTCACGGTGTCGAGGACGATCGTCGTGTTCGCTGTGCGTTTCACCGTGCGCGCCGCAGTACGAACGCTCCCCGCTGCGCGAGGCCAATTAACACCTGTAATCGTGAATTTCGGCCGCGGGCATCTGCCGTGGGCGATACGATATCCAGATGTTAAACGACAGGTATATGCCTATGTGTGGCGCGTTTGATACCTTTCTTTTCCTCTCTACCGGTATTGCTATGAAATACGAGCCCCTTCCGGCCTCGTACGTGTCGCCGGGCGAACGAGTGACCAGAGCGGTGATATTTGTTGCACATTACGACGACGACGTGTCGGAAGTTCACGTGGAAAATATGTCGTCGTGATATACGACACGGCGACATGTACGACGACGCAACGTGCGCGCTTGGGAAACTTATACCGGTTTTCAATGGAACAAATTTGACGTCCTCATTGTGACGTCCTTAACGCAAACGATATGTTGCTTTGGCTTCGATTCGGCTCAACGAGATATCCTGTCTTTCTTTTTCTTTGTTCTTCTTTCTTCTTTTCCTCCTCCCTTTCTTCCTTTCTCCCGGCAGAATGCATCTCCTAACTGATCGACGCGTTCGCACGATTGTGCATATGGTGCCATAAATATTACAATTTAGCGAGTAACGAGGTAATTGGGGTGGGCGTAGCCGTGACGAATGCAGGGGCGATCAAAGCCCTGTCTCGAGCTATTTGTTGAGCTTAGCTAATTAAAAAATACTCTTTCCCAGTGCCATATGTTTTAACGGCCCGTCCCGTGGGCTCTCGACGATTATCCACTCGATCTGTTGATACTGCATATCGAGAACGCATCGAAGATGAAAGAAAGAACGTGCAGTTTAGCATAATAAATGTGATGTTGCAATTGCAATATGAAAGAGAAGGAGAAAATTTTAGTCGGTATGTTTGTAAAGCCCTGAAAAATTGGTGAGAAGCGGGATAATGCTTCGGAAAAGTATAATCTTGAAATTTGTATCTCAAGATATTCCATTAGAAGGTTGAATTAATTCTGTCTGGTCCCTAGCAATCGATGATTTTAGTAATAAGTTAATGGTTAGTATGAATGAGTTGAAATCTGGCAACACTGAAAAATTTGACATTTCTCTATAATATATGCTAGTTTACGCGCTATTGTTACTGATAGTTTCATTGTTTATACGCGTCTAAAGTGAATCGTATAAAATTGCATCTTCGACATTCATTACTTTTTTGTTTGATTTGAAAAAATCGGCAACTGAAGCTCATGAAATGTTTGTTACAACTTATGGTGATCAAGCTCCATCGTATTCCAACTGTAAATGTTGGTTTCAACGATTTAAAAGCGGTGATTTCGATTTGAGTGACAAAGAACGTATTGGTCAGCCAAAAAATGCGGAAATTCTGTCTTACTGAATCAAGCATTATTGAATAAAAACATTGCTCAAACGGAAAAAAAATTGGCTAAACAACTTAATGTCGATAAATCAATAATTTCTAAACGCCTACACGCCATGGAAAAAATTCAAAAGGATGCCAAATGGGTTTCGTATGAATTGAATAAAAGTTGCAAATCGTTTGAATATCGCCATGTCTTTGCTTACCAGACAGAAAAACAAGTTTTCTGCGTGGGGAATTGTAACCGGAGGTGAAAACTGGATTTATTTTGATAATCCAAAGCGAAAAACATCATGGATTAATCGAGGACAACTATCAACATCGACACCAAAACGGCACATTCACGGTCACAAAGCAATGCTCTACATTTTGGTGGGATATGGAAGGTGTGGTGTACTATGAGCTTTTAAAACCGAATGAAACAGTTACGGAGGAGCGATATCAGCAACAATTGAACAAATTGAATAATGAATTGATGCAAGAAAACCAGCGATAGCCAGCAGTAGACGCAAAGCGACTCTTTCGCATAATAATGCTCGTCCACATGTTGCTTCAATTGTTAGATAAGCATTGTTCGAATGGGTCGAAGAGTTCGAATGGGAAATTCTTCCGCACCCAGCATATTCTCTAGACCTAGTGCCATTTGATTACCATTAGAGATGTGTGAACTATTCGAATTCGAATCGAATTACCAGGTCTGTAAATATGAAACCGGAATTTGCCCATAGCTGGCCCTAGCTGTCAATATAGTTACCGTCAAACCGCGTCATTGGCGCCATTTCCATTTGTTGACATCTGACAAAGATTTTCAACTCACAACAATACAAGTTTCATACAACAGCATGGTTTGTAATAGCGTTGAACATGTCGAATTTTGTGCCTGGAAGCTACGATTTGCGGACAGCATTGATTTTCTGTTACCATTTGAAGAAAACTGCTGCAGAATTGCATCGAATGCTTGTCGATGCTTACGGTGAGCATGCTCTTGGTAAATCATAGTGCTTTGAATGGTTTAAAAAATTCAAACGTGGCGATTTTTACGTGAGAAACGAAGAACGTGAAAGACCACCGAAAAACTTTGAAGACAGCGAATTGCAAGCATTGTTGGATGAGGATGACGCTCAAACGCAACAACAACTCGCGGATCAATTTGATGTGACGCGAGAAGCCGTCTCCATACGTTTGAAAGCCATGGGAAAGATCCAGAAGATGAGAAAATGGGTTCCACATGAACTGAATGAAAGACAGCAGGAAAACAGAAAAACCACTTGCGAAATGCTGTTCGCCAGGTACAAAAGAAAGTCATTTCTCCATCGAATTGTGACTGGCGATGAAAAGTGGATATATTTTGAGAATCCTAAGCGTAAAAGATCATAGGTAACTCCAGGCGAACCATCGACATCGACTGCAAGGCCAAATCGCTATGGACGGAAGACAATGCTCTGTGTTTGGTGGGTTCAGAAGGGTGTGCTGCTATTATGAGCTGCTAAAACCTGGCGAGACCGTTAATACTGAACGCTACTGACAACAAATGATCGATTTGAATCAGGCGTGAAAAACGACCAGAATATCAAACAAGGCAACACAAAGTGATTTTGCTTCATGATAATGCACCATCACACACAGCAAAACTGGTCAAGGAAATGATTGAGGCATTTAATTGGGAAATACTTTCGCATGCGGCTTACTCATCAGACTTGGCTCCGTCCGATTACTACTTATTTGCATCGATGGGACACGCATTTGCCGAGCAGCGCTTCACTTCTTACGAAAATGTACGAAAATGGCTCGATAACTGGTTTGCCTCAAAAGAGCAACAGTTTTTTTGGCGTGGCATCCACAAATTGTCAGACAGGTGGGAAAAATGTATAGCTACCGATGGGCAATATTTGGAATAAAATATTTTTTATCATTTTCATACAATAAACGTGTATTTTCTATACAAAAATTCCGATTTTATATTTACATACCTGGTAAATCGAATCTAACGTAATTCGATTCGATTCGAATCTGAATCTCTATGATTCGAATCCGAATAATACGAATTGGAATCAAATATATTATCATTTGCGTGCATCAGCTACAAAACGGGCCATCTGGACGCCTGCACGTTTGAACCCTTAACTTATAATTAACTTAACTTATAATTAATAACTTAATTATAAATTACTTTAAATATTTCAATATATATTTTACTTTAAGATGATATTACAATATCAATATTCCCTTTCATATTAAAATCTTCCATCATTATTTGCATGTTTAATAGTCATGTTAAATTTTTTAATGATTCGATTCGAATTCGAATGCAATTTCATTGATTCGATTCGATTCAAATTCGAATTTGTAAAATGAGATTCGATTCGATTCGATTCGACATAAAAATTCTTGATTCGCATATCTCTAATTACTATTTATTCCGATCGATGCAACGCTTTGGAAGATAAACACTTCAATAATTACGAGGATGTGCAAAAATGAGTGTCTGATTGAATTGCTTCGAAAGACAGATCTATCGTCGCGGAATAGCTATATTGTCAGAAAGATGGGAAAAAGTCACAGTTAACGACGCAAAATATTTTGATTGGTGTATGTTTAACCATTTCTTTAAAATACAGATAAAAAAATTGACAAGATAAGACCAGAATTAATTCAACCTCCTAATAACAAGTATATAACAAATTTGTAGACTATTGATAACAGATTAGTGAACTATTGTAAACTATTGACTTTATAACGAAATCTCCCACTGGTCAAAATCAATAAGATATAAGACGAATGAGTAAAACGGACATGTTTCCATCGAAAATCAGTGAGTGCTCACTGATTATCAGTAAAATATTCTTCCTACTATTTTAATTAGAATTTTTACTGATTTACTTTAAGATAATGATAATGATAGATAGAGGAATGAACCAATAATAACAGTCTGCTTGCAAGACATTAGACTGGATAATTGGAATTACTAGCGGGAGAATGAAATTATAAAAATACTTTTCTTATATCATAAAAGGAACATTCATAGACATAAAAAAGGGCACATCCTCTCCGAACTTTCACATACTTGCCATTTCTCTTCCTCCTCCTTTTTCCTCTTTCTCTGTCTTTTTCTCTCTGCTCTTCTCCAAAAGTGCTTAATTAAGAAAGATGAATACGACGAGTAACTTAACGCATATTTTGCAACCGAGATACTTCTAAGAATTATATATAAAACTTGATATAAAACTGTCTCTTCATGGTAAGTGAGGTTCGGACCTCGCGACGTTCTTTTTTTTCTTGCACCATATTAAAAAGAAGATGGCAAGAATCAAAACGATAGTACCGATTACTCCAGCAACGATCGTGCTATTGTTAAAACCTGCCCTGACGATGTGGTCTTCATCTGGAATGATAATCTTTATTGCATTAGATTATCGTGCTTGATTGAAGGTGATTAATTTTAATCGGTCACGACTGATTCTTTTATCATCACAATTATAAGACATTAGTCAACAATTGTTGTAAGACTATCGAAATTGCGGTACCTGTTCTCGCACTGGCATCGCCAGAGCAGCCAGTAAACACGACGAAGTTGATATCAGAGATAACAACGTCCATCTCATCTCCGACGTTTATTTTGGTTCCTAATTGGCGTATAAATGGTCCGTCTTTCATGAGCGTGGGGAACAACCGCAAGTGTCTGCCCGTTGTGTCTCCTTTCATTCTTTTACCTATCAAATATCGAAAACAGAAGCACTAACGTGAGAGCGAATAATTAGAAATTAACGTCTTAAGTAACTTCAAGAACGGTTCAGCCTGTGTGTAAAATAGCGAAATAAAATCTCACAGAGAATTTAAACATATTTAAAATGGAAAGATGTGAGACGCTCATTTTAAAAGTAGTTTGGGGCTTAATACCGATTTAATACCGGGGTTTAATACGGGTTTAATACCGAAAAAAAAGATCGATAATTTAAGAAATTTCGAATGTCCCAATTTATAACAACTGTGTTTCCTAACTTACAACCTGTTTTTTTACTTGTTAAATCTGTAGCTAATCTTGAATTTCTTTTTTAACTAAATTGTCATATTATTAAGCGGCACTGCAGTTATTCGTGAGAAAATACGATATAAATAAATTAAAATAAATTAATGATATAAGTAAATTAAAATATTCCCACAAATTAGAAAAATATAACAATAAAAATCTCAAATATTCAAACTTTCTAAACAAATCAATTTTGTGTTTACTTAAAACATATATTATTAATTTATTTTCGTAATGACGCTACTTGATTACTAATTGAGACATTCATTTTAGTTGAAACGCTTACATATCAATGTGAAAGGAGGGAGTACAGAAAAAAGGGGAGACAAAGGGATTATATCTCGGGATAAGCGACTCGTCTATAAACAAACAATAAAGAAATTTGCCACCTGATATTACCTTGCGCATTTGGGAAATTATTATTGTCCAAGTACACATTGACGGAAGTGGAATCGAGGAAGTATCTGCTATCGTCATGAGTGTAATAAAATGTGATATTATTTTCCTGAATATCACCATCGGCTAAATTCTCGACAGCATCTTTCCAGCTTAAAGTCATCTCAGCCGTTTTATCACCGCAGACACCGCTCGTCTTTGCTTTCTTTGGGACTGTTAAAGTAGCTCCATTTACCTAAAAATATGTCAATATACTCGATTACTAGATATTTTTTAAATGTAATATTTAGATATTTTTTAAATTACTTAGATATCTGTGTATTTTTTCGCGCTCAGTTATTTAATTTTTTTATTTATGTTATTTTTTACTTATTCTTCAAGATATTCTATGCAGAAATGTATCAAAGTAGAATCAGTAAAACGATTAGTAAAAAGAAGATACTTCACGAGTATTCATTTTTTATACATCAGAATATATCAAAATAACATATAAAGCGCTTAATAAAATCATTTCTCGTTGAACTTATACACTAAAAATTATATTTGAAGCTTCGGTTTTCCGTTTATTCGAATAAGGAAATTGTGAGTATTCAAACAATGGAATACTCGAATGATATTAATTTCACAAAATCTTGTTGCACTTCCCGTAATTAATTCTATTAACAGCCTCCATATTTCGATTCTTACGGATAGAAACACTCTTTAATCTCAGTCATCTGCTTTCAAAGCTTCCTTTTACGCTTAAATCCGACAAAAATCCGTAACTCAAAAACCTTTTTATATTTTTTATTTATTATTTATTGCAATATTTCGTATCCTGATGCCTGTATCATCTCTGCACCGCTTCTCTTTTTTGCATGTTAATGCTAAAGAGTTTAACCGTGAGTAAAAATGATTATTATTAGGTGTGTGATTTAGTTTTGAGGGTTTTGCAAGAGATGGCACTAATGTCAGTTTTGTCGAAGACATTCCAATTCCAGCTATTGTTTCTTAATGCTTTAATATTAATACATTATATTCCATTCACTAATAGACGCAGTAAAAATCATGTTAATATCATTTAAGAAAATGGAGCTTCCTAAAGAGTATTTTGAACACGCATTGCTTTTGTTTTTTAATCAGAAGAAAACGGAGGTCGAAGGTCATAGAATTCTGATAGAAACTTATGGTGATGTTGCTCTATTAATTAAGACGTGTGAATATTAGTTTAGACGATTCAAAAGTAGTGATTTCAATGTTAACGACGAAAACCGTTCGGGACAACCAAAAAAACTTGAAAATGCAGATTGCAAGTATTATTGGACGAAAATCCAGCACAATCCACTTCAGATCTTGCCAGAGGATTAAACGTTGATTGTATTGTACAACAGTTACTAAACGTTTACATGATATGGGAAAGATTCAAAATGAAGGAAAATGAGTTCCACATCAATTATCAGAAAATGTCATTGCGAATTGATTGAACATTTGCATTTCGTTGATCGCCAAACAAAAAATGAAGAGTTCTTGCATTGAATTGTTACTGGAGATGAAAAATGGATCTATTTCGATAATTTTAAATGAAAAGAATTACGGGTTGTTCCAGGCTAACCAGCAATATTCAGTTCGAAGTATAATATTCATGGTTCAAAGGTATTGCTATGTATTTGATGGGATCGAGAAGGTGTTGTGTGTTATAAATTGTTAAATCCGAATGAACCTGTCATCGCTGATCGTTATTGACAACAATTATACAAAGTGAGCATTGGACCAAGAACGATCACCAATTGCGAGTAAACGACGCAAAGTGATCCTTCTTCACGACAATTCTCGGCCTTATGCTGCATTATCAGTGAAGCAAACGTTATTAAATTATTGGAATGAGAAATCCTACAACACCTCGCGTATTCTCCATTGCTCCATCCGATTATCACTTGTTCTGGTCGATACATGCTCTAGAGCAGGGATTCCCGACCGGGGGTGCTCGCACCCCCTGGGGATGCGAAAAAACATTCTTAGGGGTGCGAGAAAAAATGATTGTAATTAATGATGATTAAGATGAATTTTGAAATAATCCGGTATTTTTACCATCAAATTAAAAAAAATGTTATTAAAATTATATATTTTTTACGTATCTGTACGTATATATTCATTACGTATGGCTATGCGAAGCTTGATACCATGGATAATAATTTTATAATATTAAAATGATAGTTAATTTCTACAAAACAATACTATGTAATAACAGTACTATGTAATAATAAATTATTATAAATTAACTTCTTACCTTAAAACCCTAACAACTAATTTTTACCATAAAACATACGAATAACTTTTTTTTGTGGGGGGTGCGAAGTTTATTAACAAATTTTTAGGGGTGCAAAATACAAAAGAGATTTGGGAAATCCTGCTGAGAGGATACACATTCTCATAACTTTGAGCAAGTGCGAAAATTTGTTGAAAACTGGATCAACTCCAAAGAAGAATCTTTTCATCGTCGCGGAATCGTTCTCGTGTCAGAAAGATGGGAAAAGGTTGTAGAAAACGAAGGAAAATGTTTTGATTAAGATTATTCATTCATTATCTTGTTTAAGTTAAATCAGTTTTTAAGAAAAAGCCCTTAAAGCTAAATCACACACCTAATATTAATGTCTCACCTGAGAATCATTCGTCGTGTATCGCAAATTGATTTGGACTGTCATGTTAACTCGAATACACGCCACTCCGGTACTCGCGTCTCTCGCGACATAATTGAAATTCTCACATGGAATGTCGGTTGCGCGCGTTGTCGTATCTACATCAGTTGTTATTTTAGTCGTCGCGACGATTCTCGTGGTTTCGGTCTCAGTAGTGACTCGCTCGGTCCTCGGAGTTTCCAACGTGATAGTCGACGTCTCGGCTGCGGTGCTCCTCGTTCGCGGCGAATCCGTCGTGATGACTCTCGTCGTATTTTTCGTAATAGTCGTATCTATCGGTACAGTCGCTGTCGACGATTTCTCCGTTGTAGTCATCGGCACCGTCCTGTATGCGTTCGTCGTTGCGTCCGTTTCCGATGTAACCGCTGTAATGCTCGATGCGGAAGTAGCATTTGACGAGAACGACGTCTCACTTGTCGGTGCACTTGTGGCAGGTGTGGTAGTCGAACTTGTCGAGAATATCGCGGTATTCGTTGTCGACGCATTCTTCGTCGTCGTCCTCGTCGGCGAGATGACTGTCGTATCCGAGAACGTAATCCCGGGCGAGTTTTCGGTGGGGCTGGTCGACTTGTGCGTTACGAATTGCGTTGTGACGGTGAATGATGTTGTAGTCGCGTTAGATTCCTGCGGCACTCCTGTGATGATCTCTGTAAGAATCAACCGTACGTGATCGATCGGTCTTGTACACCTCATCTTCAAAAAGAGGACCAGTCGTGGAACCACGAATTACTGTGAAATTGACTATCGAGTAATACTAATCGTTAAGAAAATAAAAATAGGGTCAAACCTAACTGTAGATCAGCAAAATATCACTCCCGATTAGCAAGATCGCGAAAATCAAACACACCACCGATCTTCGTTTCATGTTCTATCTTTCTCTCGCGATAAGTCGTAATCCGCCACGAGCAGGGATTCACGGAGAATCGGCCACATATACGCGCTGCTGTACACGCACTTGCGATTATCGATCACAGGTCTTTTGTATTTTACTTCCACTGGAACATCCATACATCTATACCGGAAGGGAGACTTTGAGGAGAGAAGAACCGTCCGCGAAAGACACGAGACACCGAAGCAAGCCGATTATATCGCTTCTCCTCCGCTGATCGAGATGAATGAGTCAAGGCAACGAGACGAGATGAGTTAAGACGATGGCCGATTCATCTCTGTATAAAACTGATCTGGTCGCGACGATAGTTAATGCAGAATAAATAGAAGCGAGTTGCACACACAGTGCGTGGCCCGGATAATATCGATATTCCCGTTATCGCACCGTTTTTGGCCGAGAGCGATGAGATAGGGTATCGCTTAGCCCGTTCTTTTCCATCAGCCAATCGGCTTCGAAGCCGAACTCGAGGTCTTCCGTAATTAGAGTCGATAAGCCTATGACGAGAAATTTCACATTTCCCTTGACCGGGGTCTCTGCTCACTTTTATTAGCTCATTAAATATGAAATATTCAATCTCCTTAAGTACTAAGTTCAGACGACAGTCGATATCTCTGACATTTCACCTTTATAGTTTTTGGTCTGTTTTTTATTGTGAAAGTACATCACTCTTTCAAATGCATGTTTTGGTATGTGATTATCTTTCGAATTGTCTTTGTTACAGCAATTTTTGTGTAAGCATGGATAAGTTAAAAATTCATGTTATTTTCGAATATGAGTTCTGTCGTGGTGCCAATGGTGAAAGCAATGCAGCACAGACAATTCGAAATATTAACGAAGTGTTTGGTGAAGATATGGCTAATGAACGTACAATACGTCGATGGTTCGAGAAGTTTCGTTCTGGCGATTTTAATCTTGAAAATGAGCCACGTTGGTGACCCGAAACTAAGGTGGATAATGATGAGCTGAAAGCTGTAGTGGAAGCGGATACATTTCAAACTACGCGTGAATTAGCAGCTAGGTTTAACGTTACTATTCCGACAATATTGGATCACTTGAAACAAATCGGCAAGATAAAGAAGCTGGATAAATGGGTTCCGCATGAATTAAACGAGCGTCAGAAGAGAAGTCGCCTCGAAGCTTGCCTTTCTTCACTATCACGACGTAAAAGCGAACCATTTTTACGTCGTATTGTTACGTGTGATGAACAGCGGATTCTTTTCGACAATTGCAAGTGTTCGGCACAATGATTGGATATGGATGAAGTGCCGAAACACAGTCCGGAACCGAATATTCACAGAAGAAAGCTAATGGTGTCTGTTTGGTGGTCCAGACGCTGATATTATCCACTACAGCTTCATGAAACCTGGTCAATCGATTACAGCGGATGTCTACCGTAACCAACTAGGCGAAATGATGAAAATGCTTGCGATCAAGCAGCCGAGATTGATCAATAGACACAGGTAATCCTCTTGCAAGACAATGTTCGACCACACGTTACACGAATAACGTTGCTCAAACTGCAGGAGCTGAATCTGGAAATTCTCTGTCACCCACCGTATTCATCAGACCTTGTACCAACTGACTATTATTTCTTCCAAGCACTGGACCATTTCTTGCAAGGAAAAATATTCAATTCTCAACAAGCTGTGGAAAACGTCTTCCGCGATTTCATCGTCACCTGCTCCTCAGGCTTCTTCGCTGCTGGCATAAATAAGCTACCATTAAGATGGCAGAACTGTGCCGAGTAGTTAAGGCGCATACTTGGATTAATTGTACTGTTTCTAGTTTGAGATATAATAAACCAAACTTGTGATTCGAAATCGGACATTTCATACTCAACGACCTGATAGTAGCTATTTGCGGTAGTGATGGTCGTTACACGACCGCGAAGTTATGTCGCGAAGATATGAATCTACGTAGATCTGAGATAAAAGTTTCAGGTTTTAAGATGGAAGTCTAAGATTAGATAGGAAATCGAACACTGTTTGGAAAAACAGACTATGCTTTCAATAAGCGCTATCAGTTCGACCTGAGTATTTTCAATACTCAGCTACCCAAACTTACAGGGTTCCCACTAACCTGTATCTGTGTATCCGAGTATTTGGATATCTAAATTCGCAAGTATTACCCGTGCACTCGAGTGCATAATATTTTGATATATCCTGATGTAACCTAACTTAACTTAATAACCTAATAACCTGAAAGTTAATTATCAAAATAAAAGATGAGATATTTAGGTTAGGATACTTATTTTGAAACTTCTACGTTCCCGGCGTTGATTGACGAGAAGAATATTTTATATAAAGGGCAACGTATATAGATATGTTAAATATTTTTTTATTTAAAATTAATTTATTTATAATACTTAAAATATATTATAAAATACTTTCTTATTAAAATACTTGAGTATAACCGGTAGTACATGAACATAAAATATTTTGTAAAATATTTTTATTGGTCTTATCTTAATATTTATACATAGATAGAAAATAACTTGAGTAATAGATAAGAAGCCACATTATAAGAAAAATAAATAAATATTCACAAATATCCGGATATTCGAATATCCAAGTGGACAATAAATAAACAAGGTGATTCGGTTCTGCAAATGAGAAACGTCGGTTTGCTCTTTTACTTAGAACATCATTCAGCATTTCACATCTGTCCGCTCCGTGCCATCATATCTGCGTTCGTTATTAACACTTTCGGAGTAAATCGTGTTTCTCGATTCATATTCAACAGACCATATTCGCATACATGCTCGTTTACTTACTGAAATTTAAGTTGTCTGTTTTCATGTAACTTGTTAGAACTGTCTTCAAAAATACAACGGTGGAACGCGTTACTTACGGTCGTTATTATTGCCATTAAAGTATTTTTTAATTTCGTTATCAATTTTTGTCTTTATCATCATTATTGTCAAAAAAAGATTATTGTCAAAAAAAGAAGTCCAAATAAAACTCAAGATAAAATTCATTCCCTGAATATTCATATTTCGTCTTTCAATTCAGTTAGTTTTATCTTTTAATAATATTTTACGCTCATCAAAGCAGAATCACCAGTTTTCCTATACACCTATTTAACCCAACCTAACCTTAAAATTTAATTTAACTTAATTGAAGAGATAACTCTTAATTTAAGAGATTAAACGATGTGACAGCCATGATAACTCAGATTCATTTTCAATTCATTTTCATGATCAAAGCTTATGTGATCAAGCTTGTTATCTACTAACTCGTATCTCAGATTTAAGATACCCAACATCATTGTCATCAAGTATGGTTTCTTATACGATTTTCAACTTTAGATGTAAGATTGAAAATCGTATAAAAAACATAGTTACAATGATAAGGTGTACTTGACACAATGTGGACGGTTGTGGACATAAAAGTTGTCCGCAATATTTTGTGCGAGTTCCGGAACGCATCCGTCTTGTCCAATAAGAGAATTCTCCCATTGAAAAACCAATTTCCACAGTGGGCAAGACAGATACATCTCGAAACTCACACTCACAAAAGATATGTCAATCTTTCCACCCACGAATATATCGCGAATTTTCTTACTCACGCATCTCAAATATTACAATATCAATAATGTTTATGGTAGAGATGTGAACGAACAATTCGAATTCGAATCCGCATCCCTATGATTCGAATCCGAATAATTCGAAAATTTCGAATCGCGAAGATTCGAATACGAATCAAATACATTAGCGTTTGCGCGCATAAATTACTTTAAATATTTAAATATATATTTTACTTTAAGATGATATTACAATATCAATATTCCCTTTCATATTAAAATCTTCCATCATTATTTGCATGTTTAATAGTCATGTTAATTTTAATGATTCCATTTGATTTCATTCGATTCGATTCGAATTCGAATGAAATCTCATAGATTCGATTCGATTCGAATTCGAATTTGAAAAATGAGATTCGATTCGACTCGATTTGACATAAAAATTCTTCATTCGCACATCTCTAATATATAGACGTCCACGCGCAAAGGAATAAAAATGCGTCGTGGCGGACATAGCTGGAGCAATTAGCGTGAGCCACGCACGAACGCACCCCTTTCCGCCGTATCGCTGCACGCTCAGACATTATTATCCGGTTTTTCGTTTCTGCCGTATCATTACGTCCTTTGTTAGCAACTCGCGTCGGTGTACGCGGCAATCGAGGCGGCTGAAATGAACCAGCTCTACTCTCCCTGCTTGCTTTAACCACTGCTCGCGAGTCACCACTGCCGCCGCCGCCACCGCCACCGCCATACGACCCCTTTTCCGATTTCGGCTCGCGAGTGGTTGCGGTTTCAATTATTATCCCGACACGCAGCACGCGTGGAGGTGGACAAAGGCAGCGTCGGACACACCCCGTGGTCATTAATTGCGCGTTAACCCTGCGGCCGTGCTTGAGCCGATCGTCGTCGCTCCTGTTTTCTATATCGCGACGCCCTTGTACTTTCAGCTGTCTAATTCGCGGTTTCTCCCTTCCTCTCTCTCCTCCCTCTCCCTCTTTCTCTTTTCTCTTTGACTTTCTCATTTATCGATCTCCTTTCGTCGTTGGAACTATTCTCGCAACTGTTCGACTGCGTTCTGTATATCTATGGATTTCTGGATGTTTCATACATGTCAAACGAATGTGTACGTGTATATATTGATGTGGATATCGCCAGCTGCTGGCCGTTGATTTATCGTCGCGAACGTACTCTTTAAACATCTTCGAATGAAATACCACTTGAAAAGAAAAATGAATTGCTCGGAGTCAAGTGATTTTTCACTTACGGAGAGTGAATTCTTCCATTCTAGATCATCGAGTGGATATTTTCATTCGAAACTGAGAACGAATCTGATATAAGGGAGGCCGAGTCATGCAGAGTCCGCGCCAATG